CCCAGCTGGCCAATCCTCCAAATATTTGCTGCAGGCCTCGAAAGGAGCATTTTCCTTCCCCAGGATGATGAAATGAATTCATTTCCCAGGCTCCCAACATTTGTTCCCTGGTAAACACATCCCAAAACGAATCCCATAGGACGTGGGGAAGTTCAGCCACCAGTGCAGCACTCAAATAAAAAAAATAGTTTAAAACTGAGGAGAAAAAAAAATTTTTTTTTTCAGAGGGGAAGAGCTGCTGAAGCAGAAAGAAGTCATTTCCAGGCATCCCATAATTTTGCAGGGAAAGCAGAGAGTTGGGCAATCAGAACTCTAATGTACTGAAACTTGAACAGGGAGCTTGGAAGCATGGCAAAAAAAATGTCCTTCCCAAGGCGGGATTCATCTGGAGGCTGCGCCAGGAAAATTCCAAGTTTTCCACTCCAAAGGCAGAGAAAAATAGTAATAATAAAAAAAAAGGTGAGATTTTTCCCAGGAAAAGGAAAATCCACCAGGAATTCCGCGGGGAAAGCGTCTCCAGGGAGCTGCTGGAGGCAAAAAAAAAAAGGGAAAAGAGGCTGAGGAGAAGAGCAAAATCCCAAAAAGCCACATGGGGATGGAGCAAGGGGTGGGAAGAGATGGGAATGTTCACACGGAGAGGGAAATTCCAGGAGAGCTGGGAATGTTCACATGGAGAAATGAAGGATCCAGGAGAGCTGGGAATGTTCACATGGAGAGGGAAATTCCAGGAGAGCTGGAAATGTTCCCTGGAGAGGGAAATTCCAGGAGAGCTGGGAATGGTCCCTGGAGAGGGAAATTCCAGGAGAGCTGGGAATGGTCCCTGGTGAGGAGAAATTCCAGGAGAGCTGGGAATGTTCCCTGGAGAGGGAAATTCCAGGAGAGCTGGGAATGTTCACATGGAGAGGGAAATTCCAGGAGAGCTGGGAATGTTCCCTGGAGAGGGAAATTCCAGGAGAGCTGGGAATGGTCCCTGGAAAAATGAAATTCCAGGAGACCTGGGAATGGTCCCTGGAGAAATTAAGGATCCAGGGAGAGCTGGGAATGTTCCTTGGGGAAGAGAAGGATCCAGGGAGAGCTGGGAATGTTCCTGGAAAAAGGAAATTCCAGGAGAGCTGGGAATGTTCGCTGGAGAAGGCTGGGAATGTTCCTGGGGTGGGAAAGGATCCAGGGAATCCCTAAAATCCCTCAAGGGGCTCCAGGAGAGCTGGAGAGGGCCTGGGGTCAGGCCATGGAGGGCCAGGAGCCCGGGAATGGCCCCCGAGTGGCAAATGGGACATTCCGGGGGGATTTTGGGAATTCGGAATTCCTGCCTGGGCTGGAATTCCAGAGCTGGGGCTGCCCCTGGACCCCTGGGATGGATCCCTGGGTGGGATTTCAGGTCCCTCCCCACCCAAACCAGTCTGGGATCCTCTGAAGTGCCCCCAAAAATCACCTTTGGGTGCTCCCAAACAGGGCCTGGCTCTGCCAGGGCATTTACAGGAATTTCGATCCTTTGGTCCAGAGAGAAAATCCCCATTTTTTTTTACCCTTTTGCTGATTCATTTCCTTTGAAAACAGAATTTTAAGGATTTTTTTTCCCCCCCACATTATATTCAAACGATTCTGTTGCCATCGGGAGCTGCACCCTTCCCCTTCTGCAGGAGATTTCTATTTATGGGATATATTTATTTCTATTTATGGGGATCCAGGCAGATTTCACACACCCCTACCTGCACAGCCACATCCATCTCCCCTCGGAAAAACAACTTTAAATCCTCTATGAATATTGAGCCTGCAGCCACAATGAAACTCCTCTGTTAGGAGGGCTGAAACACTCTCCAGATGAAAGTAGATTTTGAAAAATTTTTAGAGCCCAGGGGTTCATTTTTAATGAGCCGTTACTTTAAGTACTGCATAAAAAATACTAGAAATTGATAGTCCATTTAGCCTGCACTATACCTAATGCAAAAGTCATTAAGATGCATTATTCTTAATGTTTATGATATGATCAGTAAGTGAACAAGTGTTTTTGCTGTTTTAAAGTCGAGCCTGTCCACGGGTCTGGTGTGGAACCACCTCCGCTGCAGCCAGGAGATCAAAAAAATCTGAATTTTACACGGGGATATCGCCCAGCCCAACGCTGTGGGGCAAATCAAAAAGCCGAGAAAAAATGGGAAATAAGGGGGGAAAAAAAGAGGATTTTCTGGAGGTACTCACGTAGGAGAGCATGGCCTTCATCTCCTCGTCGCTCCTGACCGTGATCCGATCCCCATCCTCATCCTCATCTGCCAGAGGAAGGCTCCAGGTGAGCAAGGGGGGAGCCCAGAGGCAATTCTGCACTCTGGCTGCCCCCAGAGCAGCAAAGAAAATCAACAAAACACAAAGGAAAAGGCCAACTGCACAAAATGAAATAATGGTGTGGAAATGGCATCGAATCGCTGGTTGTTCATTGAGGAGAATTGTGATTTTTGGCGAAAAAGGGGCACAAAGTGCTCAGAATTTCACTGTATGCAGGGTTTTTTATTTACTGTCAGAACCTCTGCTGAAGATGAGCACCCCCAAAACCTTCCCCGAGAAGTTGGGGTGGGGAAAAAAAATCCAAGAATCTGTGGGGGGAAAAAAAAAATCAAATAAGGA